ATATTTTAAGATTTAACGGCGTTGTGCCTTCGGTGGTAAGCGACATTCCCGTCGGTAGCGAGGTGTCTGTGCTATCTTCGTCAATCTCTAGGATTTACCGGCTCAATCTTCGAAGATGCTTATAACGGTAAGGTTTGTACACCACTTTTGGTACGACTGCACGAGATGATTAGTTGCGTAAGACTCTTTTTTTAAAAAAAAATCAACCGAGGAGGAGAGCTACCGATATATAACGTTCATTGCCCTGTTCACTTGGCTGATAAGCCATGGCTGAAAGTATTGTTGGCTGATTTGTTGTGAGAGAGAAATAATATTTGTTAGCTAAAAAAGTACGGCTTATAAGCCAAACGAACAGTATGGGCGTGATTGGTTGCTCCGGCACTGGTGATCCGGGATGGAGGGCCTGTGCAGGCTCTTCCCAGCCATGATGGAAGCATGCAAGTGGGTGTGTTTGGTTGCATCCGAGTACAAGATATCGGATGAGCAGCGTCGTGTTTGGTTCCCCATTTGCACTGTTTCGGTGTATGAACTGGTGATTCCAGTTCTTGTTTGGTTGGCCGCATTGCCCCAGATCTGAGTACCCATGTATGAGTTTGGTGTGGTTACCACCAGCTATTGCAGAATGAAGAAGAATAGAAGAAAACAGAGATAACTTTGCCTCAGTTCAACAAGCTTGGCATTGACAATGACCTTAGAGCTTCTAATGACATAAACATGACAATAGTACTCCTAGCAAATCATGAACAAGGGTGTGATTGGTTGCCCAAAAGTCATAGTTCCTCACAAGGTCATTGTCTCCACATGTTTTCATGACATTTTAAAACCATCACAGGCAATATGAAACAATTAGAGGCACCTACAACACTGCTTAGCAATGAAAAACTCAAGCATCATCAAAATAAACGACCGAACCAAAGTAGGAGGGACAATCAATTTATTCCTCGGCTCTCCTACCGCATATAACACCTTCTGGAAGAACCTACTAATTGTGTCTGCGGACCTCCTGAAGGTAAGGTCAACCACCCTAAACCTCTCATTGTGACCAACAACATGCAAGAACATGGTTACTTGTTCTTCAACAGATGCATGTATGCTGTCAGTGACAGGCTCTCTACTACAAAAAAGGTCATAAAGTTGGAAAAAGGGGCCCTCCTCATTCTAAGAAGGTTGACACAGTGCACATTATCAGATTCATAGATGTATCTAAGGTTGTTCATCACCTGTATGTCCCTTTCAGCCAAGGGACCATAGGTGACTAAGCGCGAATCTTCAACTCTCCTCCTAAACCACATGAAAAACTAAGCCGCCACTGCAACAACCACAGCAGCGGCAGCCCTTCGCCTAGCTTCAAATGCCATGTCTACCACAACAGGATGGAGGGCAACATTAGAAAGCGAGCATGCAACATGGGTGTGTACTGCTTAGCAAGCAAAAAATCAGACAAAATGAACAATGAAAGACGCGGCTGCCACACCAAAGGGTGTTCCTCCAGCGTATACTGTTACCCAATCAACATCATTGACCTCTAGGCACTTTGCTCAGTGTGTACAACAAAATAGGCATCAGCATGTACAAGATCTACATAAAACATGAGGTATAAACCAAATACAAAGCATCATGTACAGATTTGAGCTAGGAACAGGTAAATCAGGTATAGCATCGTACAGATCTGAGGATGTCAAACCAATAACCCCGATTTCTTGGCATTTCAAGCAAAATCCACCAACAAATCAACAAAATCGACAGTGAAAAAGAGGTGGGGAAGAGCGCAGGTGGCATATATATACCGTCCAAGCGTCGGAGGACTAAGAGAAATCCGTCGGCGAGGGTCGCCTCGGTAGGGCTACCGAGGTTGAGGGGGAGCAAGACGGGAGTTCGCACCGGAGCTATGGCGGAAGGAGAGGCGAAGAGTGAGGGTGGTAACCCTAGCCGAGACCCCCACGCGCGCTTTATGGCCCGGACGGCCTCATCTCCCGCGCTCGGCGCGAAGGTTCCCGCCAAGCACTGAGCGAGCCTGCACCGAGAGGGAAGTGGGGATCGAGAAGACGGTGGCGTCCGGGATGGAGGAGCGAATCTGCACGGGAGGAAGCAGGAGAAAGATGTGAGTAGGGCAACCAAACACAGACGAATGCACCAAAGGATGCGGGATGGACCAAATGACGGCCCGGTTCAGGCAACCAATCACGCCCTATATGTACAGCACTTCGTGGTATAGCTACATAAGATGTTCCGTCGCATAAGACTCTCTTTTTAAATTCAATTAAGGAGGAGAGCTGCCGATATATATTGATAAAGAAGAAAGTCCAGACACGACAAAACATCATCTGCGGAAGAACTTTACAACATGAACGGAAAAGTTGTGTCAGATTATGAATCCCTGATCCATCTAAAACGAGGTAAAAACTAAACGCATGAACTAGACACGACTTCTTGGAGAGCTTGGTCATGTCTCATGCCCTAGTACAGGACGATGCTACTGTGTTTCACTGTTTTTCCATGGATCATGAAAAGAATTTTTGTGAACCAAACATATGGCACATGCCCTCGACAGGTCTAGCCAGGACAGAATAGCCCTGCTTTTTCCGAAAGATGGGCGTCGTCTCTTTTGCAAGGATTTGCGAAAGGTAACATATGCGCTAGATCAAAACCGTCCAAAAAACCCGATTGCAAACGGTATATGGATCTGCCAGGTAGTCTGTTTGATTTCAGTTGGCGTCTTGGCGACTACGTCGGTGCACCCGCAGGCCTCGGCGGATCACAGGTGAAGATTGAAAAAACAGGGTCTTCTCTGTGCCTGTATGTGTCTGACCGTCCTCGTCTCGGTAAGCCGTCGCGTGCCGGTGCCGCTGCTAGCCGGCCAGCCACGCGACGGCGACACGTAAAAGCATCTCTGCATTGCCGTGCCCTGCACAGCTCAAATTCAGGACTTGGCGCGACAGATTGTGGACTGCGTCTGCGTGGCTTACTTGGCTACCACATAAGCATCAGGTTCGTGCAAGCTGCTTACTCCAATGAGCCTTTTTCAGTCGAACGCAGATTGTATATTCCTGATGACCAAATCACCAAAGCAAAGGGGTTGTTCAAGCCCAAGCCTCCTGGTTGCCGCGCGAGCAAACTTTGAAGTGGGATAAGACGAAAGGAAAAAACACGGGCGAAACAAGATGGTTGGTTTCATTGAACATGCGCCTTCCTCTCCTTTACACTGCACGGGGGCTATTTATGTGTGCCCGTAGACTCCTGACGGACAAGAATGCCTTATAACTGCCACACATTTGGGGTATATTCCCTCACACTCTGGATTTATTTACCACTCGGGGTAGCCACCCGCCTCAGGTAGCACCGGACCCAGGAGCCCGACCCGTTCTGTCCCATGTCGCATCCTGGCCGACTGTGTGGCCCCTGGTGGGCTGACGCTGTCGGACCGGCGAAAAGGCCGCTGACTCCCCGTTAGTGACTAGGCGGCCCGTTAGTGACTATTCGCCAAGGTGAATAGCTTGAATCGCGCCCGCGCCGCGGGCTTCACTGATCCTGCCCAAGTTGCCTCCTTTCGGCAAGGCGAAATTGCCCAGCCACTGTCTCGGGGCTCCGCGGTTCTATTCGCCTATGCGAATAGGCCGAACCAACCTCCGAACCAACCTCGAGCCTGCATATCGCCAAACGCGCCGTCGTCGCTCTCGTCTTTTCGCCCCGACGAAAAGGAGGGGGCCCTGTGCCAGGAGCTGCCATCCGTCCGCGTGTGTGTTTGCCATCTCGCCGGGGCGAGATGTTGGGCGTGTTTTTCATCTGCGAGTGTCGCAGCGTCCGGGAGTCCACGGGGTGCCGAAATCCGGTCCTGCCCCCAACACAAGGCTAGATTAATAGACGTCCTAGGCACAAGGTACTAGTAGTACGAAAAAAAGGCTGAAAAAATGGCAGAGACATCAGGTCGAAGAGCGTGTCTGAGGCCTGAACTAGTAGGTCGATGATGACACACATGCGTTGGTTTTGGGGCAGCCTTGTTGTTGGCACGTACGGCCCCCCGGCCTAACTTAACCACTGCAGATTAAGGGTGTGCCAACAACCAAGGAGAGTTCTGTTTCTAAGCATATGCATATGGCCGGAACACGTACGAACACTGTGGCGTGGCGCTGGTGATCGGTCACCATCGACTCATTAGCACCAATCAAGCCGCAAATAGCCTATCGGTGGTTTAGGCCTCCACGATGTTCTGAGCGTGAGATCGATGCCCAGCTAAGAATAATGCTGCTAATCATTGTCGTTACTAATCGAGGAGCCGGTCAAGATGCTCTTCCATCGACGTGGCCGCGACGGTGGTCCAATTCATATTTCCATCATTTTTGTGTGTGTTTTTGTCTCTTCCATCTCTCTGTTTTGAGAGGAGTATTCTACTCTTCTAGTTTTCGTTTGCTGCTTCAAGTGATTATTCCTAAAACATCTTTCTTTATGATGTTTAGCAGTGATCTTACAGAGAATCTGAAACGTTTGTTGCTGCGAAATGCGCTCTTATGTACTAGCAGTGTATCAAGTTGTTTGGTCATCCAGAAAAGAGGTAGAGTCTAATCAAGCTGGTGCAATATCTGCCCTCCAGCCTGACCTTGCAGGAACGAAAATATATCTAGTGGCTTGTATCCCTTTTTATGATTTTATGAGTTAAATGATATTTTGGTTAACTACATACCTAATGTTAGAAATTATACTTGGTTCTTGTGGCATGTCAACTTCAGTGCGTGCAATCTTTTACTTAATGTTGGTCTTGAAGATGCATCTGTACTTAAGTATCACACATCAACCAGTTATACTATACTGAACACATTTTGTATGTGACTGTAATTTCTTGTTTTTGTTATGTCTATGCAGACGAAGCGTACCAAGAAGGTTGCTGTCGATGGCAAATATGGTATTCTTATTAATGCTTCTAGAACTTTCTGAAGCTAACCCTTGCAAATTCCAATGTTACAAGAACTAGGTATGGTGCTAGCTTGCGTAAGCAAATCAAGAAGATGGAGGTGTCTCAGAACTCCAAGTACTTCTGTGAGTTCTGTGGAAAGGTAGGTCTTATGTTGATTGGTTTAATTAGTAATGCATTTTTCTGCCTGCTGTTGAAATTTTGAACAATGTATTGCAGTCTAGCTTAATGACTTATGCGTACATTTCCGGTCCAGGTCGACTTCCCCACCATTCAGGAAGGGGCAGACGGAGGCAGCCCGCCATTCCGGCTGCTGTTGGCACAGCGCCTGACGCGACGGCCGTGACGTCGACCGAGGACTTCATCGCTGCATTCAAGAAGCCGCTCACGATGCCTGTCTTGTCGTCGCCTCCACGACTGCGGCTAACCTGGGCGGCCAGAGCGCGGGCGGGGGAGCTGGACGACTCAGAGCTCGTCCCCAAGAGGAGCGCTAGGCTTGCCGCCAAGAGCAGACATAGGGAACAGAAGCCGGAGGCTCAGGCGCGGAAGGTGATGATGAAACGTTTGGGGCTCGAGGAGGTGGAGACTGAGCTACCTGACGAAGCCTCCTTTGAGGAATTCCAGACCGCCTTCGTCCTCCCTTTGTCGACGTCGACGCGGGAAGCCATGCAGATTCTCTTCCCGAGCAGGAACCCGCGGGTATAGTCGCTCGCTTTTGTCTTGCTGATTTAGTCGCAAAGCACCTTTCCTATGTAATTTCTCTTAGTGAATCCAATAGCAATAGGTGGCAAGGTGTGCGTTGTGTCACGAAGGCTCCTCGCTTGCGTGAGTGCGCACGGTTGTACTGTTAACTGTTTTCCTCTTAATGAAAAACGGGTGAATGGCCCGATCGTGAAAAAAATGACTTCTGCGTACCTGAACTGCCATAAACTGTAAACTGTAGAATGTATCTCTTGTCAATTCTGCTTGTTTGGTATCATATTTGAATGGTTTATGACATACTTATGCATGTTGAGCAATTTGTTTCTAAAGCACATGGAAAATAGTATTTGTTTTGTCCTATTACTGACTTTGCTGTGCTTTCTCACCAGTTCGCTGTGAAGAGGAAAGCAGTTGAAATTTGGGGTTACAAGACTGCGGGAAGGTCAAGGCTGGTGGTGCTTACGCCAAGAAGTATGTCCTCTTTCCTACTTCTTTCCTCTCCCTAAACAACCTTACATTGTGGTGAATATCCTGATTATTTTGTGTCTTTGCAGCGCTGCTAATGCAGTCACTGTCAGGAGCACAATCCGTCGCTTGAGGGAACAAACTGAAGCGTGATTGGATTTCTTCTCTGAAGGGAGTCCTAGTGTTTTTTTAGTGTCTCAAGACTTGGAAATCAATGTCTTGTTTAGGGTCTCCAAAAATATGGTGCTAAATCTTGGTTCTCGTTGCAAATTTGACCCGCTTGATCATAATCCTTATTTCATAACGTGGAATATCTGGTTTTTATACTTGTCTCTTTTTTAGAGAGCGCGCTTAGGTTGTCTCTGGTTCTCCGTTCTACTTGCTTCATTTCTTGTGCAGCATATCCACAAAATCTGACAGTACCCAAGTTCTCGGTGTGGTGGTTCTGTTGTTTGGTTCCTGGCTTTAGCATCCTGTTGGATGATCCTCTTTGTAAGAGGCAGCTTCAGAATGCAGTGGCTGTTGGAACTTTTAACCCCAGGACTCTGAAACATGACCCGCTTCAACTCCTCTGCTCTCTGCTGCCTTGAACATTAAGATCGATCTGAAATAGTGGAAAGGCTCATTTTTCAATTTATCATAACGTCATGTGAAGATGAGCGCATTTTTTTTACGCTCTTCTCTTATTTTCTCTATGCATGTAATATTCAGAAACATAGTTATTTGTGTTCTCACTATGCATGTTAAGGAGGAACAAATAATAAAGTAAAAAACCCTGAAAAATCTCGATATGTGGAGTATGGGCTGAATGTTAAGCCGTTTAGATATACGGTGGTTCCTAAGAGCGGAACTATTGTTTATGAAAATGAGCTTATTGAACTTGTAAGTTCACTGACTAGTAATGACCGGAAGTTTATGCTCTGTAGTACAGGTGTCCCTCGGTTGGTTAGCCGCAGCGACGTTGCTATAGGAGATTGCCGGTCATCTTCAAATCCTCTTAAGAAGGGCCCTGAGATGTGGCTGTAGGCTAGTTGTGATTGTTGCCATCTGAACGACGTACGAGAGCTCCCCATCTGCCATTTGAAAAGTTCTCGTGATCTGCTTCACCTGGCAAAATTCAGCAGTATTTATTAGTAGAAAAAGACAACGGTTTGGCTCCTTTTATCCCGTGGGTTTCAAGGTCATCGGTAAAAGAAGAGACCATATCTGCATCTAAACTCGTAGCATCTGATCTAGCACATGGTAATGTGTGAAGGCGATGCAATCAAAATGCAGAAGTTCAAAGGGCCAATTCAGAATAGGAATTCCGACTGAATTTAGGGGATGGGCCAACCTATAGTAGCATGATTCTTGAACACAAAAGGTGTATCACAGTACAATAACAATAATAATAAAAAATAGCCTCGCCCGTAAGCAAAGATGGATTTCTTGATATAATTTCATGATACTGTTTTTTCAGAGATTCATGGTACTCGCTATAAGCATAGAAGAAGCTTCCAATATTCCATATCATGGTCTATTTTCTCTAGGGATATATGACCTGATAATGTAAAAGAAAATGAGGACAACACAGAACAATAGTTACCCAGTGAGCAGTACCTTTGATGCATTTCCTACGAGTTCACTTTGGAGTGTCACTGTTTTCTTTTCAGCGTCATATGAACCCTTCTGCGATTTCATAGAACCGAAAAAGTGGCTCAATAAAAGGAACCACAAATTAATTAAGGCTGTGATTAGTTCGCGAAATGAATTTTTTTTATGTCACATCGGATGTTTCGGGGATGTCGGAAAGGATTTTCGGATACTAATAAAAAAAACTAATTACATAGCTCGCTTGGAAACTACGAGACGAATTTATTAAGCCTAATTAATCCATCATTAGCGCATGTTAGTTACTGTAGCACTTATGGCTAATCATGGACTAATTAGTCTTAAAACATTCGTCTCGCGATTTCCAACCAAACTGTGCAATTAATTTTTTTTTCGTCTATATTTAATACTCCATGTATGTGCCGCAAGATTCGATGTGATAGTTTGGGGTGAAAATTTTTTGGAACTAAACCAGGCCTAAGGAATATGAATAGCATAGTTTCTAGAAAAGTAACATAGCTTTCAGCTAGCAAGTACTCCCTCATTTTCAAATTATAAGACGTTTTGACTTTTCTAGATGTATTGCTTTTATATAGACATAGTGTATAATTAAGTACATAGTAAAAGCTATGTATCTACAAAAGCCAAATCGTCTTATAATTTGGAATAGAGGAAGTACCTTTTAGTCCCAGGTGCAACATATTTAAATTCAAAGGAGACCTACTATAAAGTGAAATATGCATTCCATTTATCAACAGTTTGAAGAGGCACAAGGATAATAATATTAGCTCTAGCCATTTTGCACTCATGTTGTTCCTGGACTGTCTGCTCCATACTTCCATTCACTCACCTATTCTATTACCTGGTAGCAGTAGAGCATTTCCCATCCACAGAAGTACAAAACATAAGTTCCCTAATTTGCTACAATTCTATCCATACTCGTTTCCATCAAGCGTCAATAATGCAAATCTCCTACAGTCCTACTCATAATACATGAACAGAATACAACTTCTCCAATGGAATGCTGGTTCGATACTAGTTTCAGTGCGGCAATTAAAGATGCTTGTGCCCTGCATCTCTGGTCAAACAGCATAAATCATTCTTTGGATGCCGGTGCGAGAAACGAAATGTGCAGTAGTTCACTAGGGTATGCAACAGGCGATGGCACATGTGCAGAGCAGCCTGCAGGTAGCAATGTGCATCTGTCCCCATAATGCACAGCCGCTATGATTGAAGAGAAGAGGCCAACTGGCCCGAGGAGCTCACCTGGACCTCGGCGAGGCCAGTGCTCTGCGCGATGACCACGTCGACGGAGCCGTCAGGGCGGGGCCGCCAGTACCCGCTCTCGGCGTGCATCGGCTCGCCAGACGCCGCCTTCCACGTCTTCTGCGTGTACGAGATCACCGGCTGCAGCCACCCACCACCGATCCGTAAAGTCAAAGAAAAAGGTCCAAGAATTGAGCAGCCGAAGGGAAGATTTTCTCGCGAGGGAAACAGCGCAGGTAGGGAGGCGCCACACCTTGGAGGGATGATGCGAGAAGAGGAGCTCCTCGCCGTACCGGAAGGAGGAGATGGTGGGGAAGCTGCCCTCGCCTTCCCCGCGCCACTTCCCCAGCAGGAAGGCCAGCGGCGCCACCGCCGGGTGAGTCACCGGCGGCTCCGTGGGCGGCGAGGCTGCGCCGGCGGCTTCCATTCCTCCTCGTTTCCTTGGTGGCTCCGGTTGGACTTTCCGTTGGTACTCAGCACCGAGCCGGTCGCCTCCTCGGCTGCTCTCGAGTCTCGATTTCCTCGCGGAGCACAACGGAGCGCTCAAGGCCTTGTGTTTTGACCCATTCGGCTTTGGGTGCTACCAATTTGTTGGGCTTTGGAAGTACGCGAGACAGACCTCGCCAACCGGCCCACGCCACTCGGCCGCATATGAGAACGAGCCAAAGAGAGAGAGAGCAGCAGCAGACCATCGTGTACTTAACTTTTTAGGCCAGTCATGAGATTTGCTAAAAAAAAGTGATGAATTTGAGATTTTAAAGTGGCAACAAAATATAGCTAAAGGTTCGATCGTGTATTGAATTTGAAAATTTAGTGGCTATAAACTCTTGATAGAGGTCCTTCTCTTGCATACGTGAGTGGTGGTCTCAACTCTCTACTACTCATACGTGAATTTTGGGCTCTTAGAATTTTCATCAAACATAGAATCCCATTGGCTCGTGTTCTTTCTTCTACTCACAACCTTCCTTTTTCCTCCAACCACCTTCCTCTTTCTCATTTCTCTCGTCATTGCGCCTCAGCAGGACCCCAATTACAGGTTGGCGGTCGTCTGCTCGGCTGCAACCTGCAATCCCGTGAACACCCCCTTGAACTCATTTCTTTCCTTTTTTTGTCCCATTATGCCGAATTTCTTTTTCCTTTTCTTTTCACGCGAGCTATTCGCGAGTGTTCACTCTTTTTGAATCCGATTCATGTAATTCATGAATCATCTTAATTTTTATATGCAAAACTTATGATGTAAGATTTCGTATTCAAAATTGAGTTTTGTTACCTAAAATAAAGGCAATAGCTGATCAACATGTGATTTCATATTTAGTTGTAAGTTTTTAGTTAAAATGTTGCGACCTTCTATTTCTTATTTGTCTCTTTATTTTGTATCAGGGCATGCAACATACAAATCATGCATCAGTAATGGATACACGATATTAAATTATACTATGCTTCAAGTTTCACAAATTATTCTTTTAAGTTTTAAGATAACTTATGATGTAAACCTAGAAAGATGTTTTGCTTTCTATTTAGTTATATGATAAAATCTTCATGTTAGATTATGGTATTAAAATGTGCAAATTCTACAATATTTCATATTTATAAGTTATGCTACATAGTTATTTTGTACATAGTTTTATATTTTTATTAATATGTTATAATAATAATTTACATCTAAGTCATTCATTAAGTTATATATGTAAGTTATCACACTATGATTACATGGGAGTGAGTGAAAAAACAAAAGAAAAAAGAACCAGTAAGATCACTGGGTTGTTCGTTTAAAAATATTCTATTTTCATTTACTAGGAGTACTCTTCCTGATTCCTTTTCTTCTCTCTTGATTATTGCTTTTCAGTGTGGGCTCACTGCTTGTAGGTCTCTCTTAATCATAGATTTCCTTGGGGCCCAGTTGCTCGCCCCCCACCTGATCCATTTGTGGCAACTCGATTGGATTAACAACACAAACTGAAAGTCCTAATTTGGTTTTGGCTAATTGACGAAACCTATGTACTAACCTATGTCATTAAGTGTGAATATGATGTAGACTAGGCCCGATCTTCCGAAAGGTATGATAGCGTCGATTGGTGGAGACTCGACGTTCACGATCTAGGCTTCGAACCAAGACTGATTTGGACCTCCGCAACCGTTACACCACTGCTCCGTTGGTTATCAACCACGCGAACGCGATTGACCTCGCCGAGAAGGCTTTCCTGCAAGCGAATCGAGAACACAAGCAAGAACGAGATAAACGTAATATGAAATTGTAAATAAATATGAGGCTTATGA